AGGGCTTCTTCGAAGAAAATGTCCTGCCTCCAAAGAAGTAATTCAAATGTAATGGGAAGGTGGCAGACTTGAATGTGCATACAAAGTGCCTAGAACAACAAAAGCCCAGCTGTGTGTCTGTCCCTGGAGGTAGAAGTGCTTGTGTGTGTGATGCACGTGAGCATCTCTGTACACACACCAGGATATACAGTTCTGCATGAGCTCGTTCTCGTTAAAGAAATGAGCATAGGAAGTATTTACCCTGATGGTTATTTACCTAGGTCACAACTATTTGGATTTCGGGGGGAAAATCAATTTTTAAAATTTTTTTGTTATTTTAAGCAAACTTCTTTTGTACCTTTCTTACTTCTAATATCTGTCCCTGGACTTTTTGTATTTCAAATATTTGTGATGCTGAGAAGCGAAGTTCATTTTATGTGATCTTCATGCATTGTAATCTACTTTTGGTAGATATTTAGAAGTATTAAATCCTCATTTAAATGTGACATACAGCTTTAAACACATTAACATAAAGTGGCTTCCATCGGAAATGTGGGGGCAGGCAGGGGCTCCATTTCACAGAATTATAGAGATTTCTCAGTTGTAAGACATGATGTCATCCTGCATGCCTCCTGGAATTCTCTAGTGGGAATGCCAAAGAACAAATGGAAAAGAAAGCTTTACTTCCTTGCATTTTTCTACCTTTCAATAGCAAAATACCACTACCACCACCACCTCTTGTCCCCCTCCCCATTTTTTCTTAAACTCTTCTGGCATTTCAGAGCTCAGTATGCTCTTATTCTGGGGTCTTGGGCTAGGCCTGAAACTCTCCCCTCCCACCCCTGCTAGGTGGCCCAGGCCTGCTCTGGAAGAAAACCCCTCACACTGCCTGGGCTTTTGGCCAAACAGCCTTGGATGGATGAAGTCAGTGAGTGCGGGGGGAGGTCACTGACTCACTGACTCACTCCGCTCATTCAGCAGAGGGGAGGGGTGCACCCAGAGGAAACCCTCCAGCCTCCACCCTCCCCGCCGACTCAGGGCGGGGGCCCAGGCCTATTCCTGGCAGCTGTAGCTGCAGCTGTGCTGCTGCTCCTCCCGGGAATGTGTGACAGCCTAAATGTTCCAGGGAGATGTCCCCGGCGGGGGGCTCAGAAATGCTAATTTGGTTCTGTGTTTTCTTCAAACTACAAAAGTTCTCTTGAATAGGAATTTCACAAGGTCCATATGGGAGGGCCAACCCAGATGCCAAGCTGTCCCTGAAACCATGGCATTGCCATTTGTCAAGCTAGCAGGGGTGGGAGTTGGGGGTTGCCGGCTTACAGACAGGAGTCTGGACAGACCAGTCTTGAAAATAGCTTACTGAAGGTCTGTTTTGCACTGTGAACACAGCCTCATGCCATGCCCCTTATTTCATCCAGGTATATATACATACATACATATATATATATATTTTTTTTTTAATTTAATTTACTTTTATTTTATTTTGTTGGTGGCTGGCCAGCACAGGGAACGAAACCCTTGACCTTGGTGTTATAAGGCCACACTCTGACCAACTGAGCTAACCATCCAGCCCCATCCAGGGATATTAACTAATAAGACAATAAAATCTTTTTCTCTTGTGTAATATCTTCCTCCAATGTGATTCATGCCCAATTCTTAGTTGGTGGCTGAGGCAGTCCATGACTGTGAATCCCCATCTTGAGTAACTCAAGCCCCAGAAGACCTCCAACCCCTCCACTGTAGACTGTGTTGCTTGAGGGCCAAGTTTTGAACCATGTTACCCACCAGCACACAGCTGATTGGACTAGAGTGGNAATGCTAATTTGGTTCTGTGTTTTCTTCAAACTACAAAAGTTCTCTTGAATAGGAATTTCACAAGGTCCATATGGGAGGGCCAACCCAGATGCCAAGCTGTCCCTGAAACCATGGCATTGCCATTTGTCAAGCTAGCAGGGGTGGGAGTTAGGGGGTTGCCGGCTTACAGACAGGAGTCTGGACAGACCAGTCTTGAAAATAGCTTACTGAAGGTCTGTTTTGCACTGTGAACACCGCCTCATGCCATGCCCCTTATTTCATCCAGGTATATATACATACATATGTATATATATATATATATTTTTTTTAATTTTATTTTATTGATATACAATGTGGATTGGTTGAAAGGCACACAGAGCTAAAGCCTCTCATGCACTACTACTTTAAAAGCAATCCCTAAGGTGTTTTTTTTTTTTTTTTTCTTATTTCTGTGTCTACCCCAAGCTGGCATAAATAAATTAGTAAAATAGTTTGCAAATGTGTGCATCTGTTGATTATGTCTAAGCCATATTTCTAGAACATATGAAATTGGCCAGATCCTTACATTTAATACATTCTAGATAGAAATGAATAAAAAGAAGAGGGAGAGGGAGAGAGATGAGAGAGAGGCCTTAACATTACTATTCAGACAATGTTGAATTATGCAAGAAATCCCAAGTCATACACAAACCCAGAATAAGAACCTATATTCATATTTAACTATTTTAAACTATTTACTATGGGGTACAGTGGGTGGGAGAACATAAAAATTCTATTAAAGGAGAATTTAATAGAATTATTATTCTATTAAATGATTCCTTCAGTTCAAAGTCATCAAACAACCTCAACTTATTTTTCAAACTTTGATCTCAAAGGATTAAAATTTAGCCATGATAAACATCGTCTCTCTGCCAATTTCCTAATCTCGTGATCCCTGAGCAGTGTGAGGAGTGGGAAGACAGCAGGGGAGTGTGCACCTTCATCCTGGCTTTCCCGGGCAGTACCTGGGCTCCACCATGTCATTATCCATGGGAACTTGAGATGATTGCATGTTTCTCTGTACCTCTGTTTCCACATCTGCAGACTGTGGATGGTTTTAGGACTCATCTCATAAGGTTTGTTATGAGTTGAATTATGTGCCTCCGTTCACATGTTGAAGTCCTCAGAATGTGACATTATTTGTAAAGAGAGGTAATCAAGTTTAACTGAGGTCGTTGGAGTGGGCCCTAATCCAATATGACTGGTGTCCTTATGAGAAGAGGAAATTTAGATACAAACGAGGGAATGCCATGTGAAAAAATCAGGGCGATGCTTTTACAAGTCAAAAACACCAAGAATTGCCAGCAACCCACCAGAATCTAGGAAAGGGGCCTGGACCACAGCCTCCTTCTAAGCCCCAGTAGGGACTAGCCCTGCTAACACCTTGATCTTGGACTTCCAGACTCCACAATCATGAGAATAAATTTCTCTTGACTCTGTTGTCTGGTTGTGGTACTTTGTTGCAGCAGCCTTAGCAAACTCATGCAAGGTTATTGTGCAGTTCATGAACTGATAAATGTAAAAAACTTGGAAGCATGCAGGAGCAAGATATGTGAGCTGACGTGATATCATCCGTACTACGCCTCCATGGAAGCCAGTGGGGGCAAGGTATCTGGCATCAGCACCGGGAGATCTCATTTTTCACCCAAGTGCTGCCGTTGCTTAGGAGATCAGAGCTGGCCCTTATCCCCTCTTTGCACAGGCAGCAGCCCCACAGGTGGGCACAGGACCTCCAGGAGGCAGGGAGTGCCGGCGGGAGCCTGAGCTGGCGGGGTCTGCGGACACCCCACCCAGCGGGGCTCCAGGAAGTCATGAGCCTTCCAAGCTGATCATGCCCGGAGCCGGCGTCGGCTCCTGTCACGGGAGCGCACCCCCGTGGTGACTCAGTGCCCGCATCTGTGAAGTGGGGACGGGTGTGTGTTTGTCTTAGGAGGCCCTTCTAGTTCTAAAGGCCTGCCAGGCTGTGAGCCCCCGCTCCTGCCGTGTGAATTGCGGGGCCGCAGCCGACGGAACTGCGCTGCCGCGTCTGCACCGCGGGGCCAGCGGGCGCGTGGAAGCAAAGCGGAAAACCGGGCGGCGCGCGGCTCTGCAGCGCGGAGCCCGCCGCAGGGACGGCCCTCCAGCCCCCCCGTGTGGCCGGCGTGCGCGAGGGAAGGCCGCCCAGAAGGGACGCGAGGGATTCCACAGCCTCCCCAAGGGAGCGGCCGAGGACGCGGGTGCTGCGCGAACTGATGGAGTACTAGTAAGGAAACGGCAGTAGCATGTATTAAACGTTTACTCCGAGCAAACTTGTGCTTACCACTCTCTAGTCATTTTCTCATTGAAACTCAATCTTTGAAGTATTACTATTATTCCCATTTCACAGATGAGGAAACCGAGGTTTAGAGAGTCTGAGCAACTTGTCCTAACCAACCCACAACAGCCCCAAACATTTTACAACTAGACACTTGGAAATGTGGAGAGAACGTCCCAGTTTGCCCTGGAACTGAAATGATCAGGCCTTTAAAGGCCCTCCCATCTCCTGGTAGGTAAGTGACTAACTTCTGCATCCCTGCTCCAGTGTGAGGCCTCTCATCTGAAGCAAAATGGTGTCCATGGCCATAAAGGTCAGAAGCCAAAGGACAGAGTGTTTCTTCTCTGATCCCCTGGAGTCTTGGCAGAGAAAGGTACTTTGAGGCCTGAGGATCAGAGACTGGGGAAAGCTAGGTGTTTAGAGCTTCCTGGAAGGATGGAAAGAGTACTGAATTACAGATGGCTTGGGTTCTATGCCCTACTCTGCTTCCAGTTGGCTATGTGATCTTGGGCAAGTCCCTTCTCTTCTCTGGGCCTCAGTTTCCCTACTGTAAAATAAGAGGATTCTTTTAGATGACCTGATCATCTGTTCCCTTCCCCTACTCTGCCTTATCTCCACTACGCAAACCACTCCCCACTGTTCTACCCAAACTGAACCTGACATTCCAGAAGCCTTGAACTGACATCTGAAAGTTGTCCCCCCATCCTGAGTTTGCTCCTGAACTCTGGGCCACGGATTCTAGGTCCTGGTAGGGTATCTGGCCTTTGGAAGTTGGAGGGATCAGAGATCAGAGGGGAGAAAGGCCCAGTGCCTCTGAGAAAGGCCTCAAGGGGGCCTGCATTGTGATGACCTCATCCACTCTATGACATCATTCTCTCTCCCACCCCCACTCCTCTCTGGTCAACTGCTCTGCAAACAACCATCAATCTGAATCCCCAAAGCCTAAGAAAGTCTGTTCTCCAGTACCTGTTGCTGTTCTTCTGCCTCAGCCAGCAAGAAGCACCATGAAATTGGAATTCACCGAAAAAAACTACAACAGCTTTGTGCTGCAGAACCTGAACAAACAGAGGAAACGCAAAGAGTACTGGGACATGGCCCTGACTGTGGACCACCATGTCTTCTTTGCACACCGCAACGTGCTGGCTGCTGTCTCTCCACTGGTGAAGAACCTCATCTCCAGCAATGACATGAAGACCACTGATGAACTCTTTATCACCATTGACCCCAACTACCTGAGTCCCATCACGGTGGACCAGCTCCTGGACTACTTCTACAGCGGCAGGGTGGTGATCTCAGAGCAGAACGTGGAGGAGCTGCTTCGTGGAGCCCAGTATTTCAACACACCACGCCTTCGAATTCACTGCAATGACTTCCTTATTAAGTCCATCCGCCGTGCCAACTGCTTGCGCTACCTCTTCTTGGCTGAGCTGTTTGAGCTCAAAGAGGTATCAGACTTGGCCTACTCTGGCATTCGTGACAACTTCCATTACTGGGCCAGTCCTGAGGGCTCCATGCACTTCATGCGCTGCCCGCCTGTCATCTTTGGCCGCCTGCTCCGAGATGAAAACCTTCATGTGCTCAATGAGGACCAGGCTCTCAGCGCACTCATCAATTGGGTGTACTTCCGGAAGGACGAGCGGGAGAAGTATTTCAAGAAGTTCTTCAATTACATCAATCTTAATGCTGTCTCCAACAAAACACTGATGTTTGCCAGCAACAAGCTGACGGGCATAGAGAACAGCTCAGTCCATGCCACCCTGATTGAGAGTGTCCTGATGGACCGCAAGCAGGAGCGGCCCTGCAGCCTGCTGAGCTACCAGCGCAAAGGGGCCCTACTTGATTCGGTGATCATCCTTGGTGGCCAAAAGGCCCATGGCAAGTTCAACGATGGAGTGTTTGCTTATGTCATCCAGGAAAATCTGTGGTTGAAGCTCTCAGAGATGCCCTATCGGGCAGCAGCACTTAGTGCCACCTCTGCTGGTCGCTACATCTACATCTCTGGTGGCACCACTGAGCAGATTTCAGGGCTAAAGACAGCCTGGCGGTATGACATGGATGACAACTCCTGGACCAAGCTGCCTGACCTGCCCATTGGGCTTGTCTTCCATACCATGGTGACCTGTGGGGGGACAGTGTACTCAGTGGGTGGGAGCATTGCCCCAAGGCGGTACGTCTCCAACATCTATCGCTATGATGAGCGCAAGGAGACCTGGTCCCTGGCAGGGAAGATGAGCATCCCTATGGATGGCACAGCCGTGATTACTAAGGGCGACCGGAACCTGTACATTGTCACTGGGCGATGTTTGGTGAAGGGCTACATCTCCCGGGTCGGGGTAGTGGACTGCTTTGACACCAACACTGGGGAAGTGGTCCAGTGCATCACATTCCCCATTGAGTTCAACCACCGGCCCCTGCTCTCCTTGCATCAGGACATCCTCTGTGTGCACAGCCACCGGCAGAGCATGGAAATCAACCTGCAGAAGGTAAAGGCCAACAAGACAACGAACTCAGTGCCTCTCTTGCCCAACAACTGCCCCTTGGATGTGTCCCATGCTATATGCTCCGTTGGAGATAGCAAGGTGTTTGTATGTGGAGGTGTCACCACAGCCAATGATGTCCAGACAAAGGACTACACCATCAATCCGAACGCCTACTTGCTAGACCAAAAGACAGGCGAGTGGAAGACCCTGGCACCCCCACCAGAGGCACTGGACTGTCCTGCTTGCTGTCTAGCCAAGCTACCTTGCAAGATTCTTCAAAGGATTTAAACAACTTTTTAAGTGGGAGAATAAGTAAATGCATTATTATTCACAATTTAATGAGAGAGAGAAAGAGAGAAAGGTGGCCTGTTGTTCCTTCTTAGTGTTCCAGTCTATGCTTGGCCATGAAGGTGGAGACCCTGGGCTAGGGCTGCTCCCAGTGGGTGGAAATTCTGGGCTACTGCATCACTGGAGGTATCCAACAGAGGCCGGAATGGAATCTTTGATGGGTGGGACTGAGACATCTCCTAGGCACTGGCTCCAAGTGGGAGGAAATTCAGGAATACCCTGTCACTGGTGGTATCCACACCAAAGCTGGAAAGGAGTCCCTGGTGGGTGGGATAGAGGCATCTCCCAGGCACTGGCCAAGGTGATGTCTGGAAAGTGTCTTATTCTGTGCCCTGTAGATGCCTCTCAGGCATCTGCTAGACTGACAGATGAACACTTGCCCAGAGTTGTGAAGCCTCGGTCTCCCCTAACACGACCTCCCTCAAGTCTTCCAGGAAGGCAGGGGAGGCCCCATCCCAGGTCCAGGAGAGGATCCTCATGATCCGGGGAGGGAGAAGATGGTGTAGCCAAGGCTTGGGGAAGGTGGCAGAAGGAACGGGGAAGACAAGGTTACTTGGCTATTGTATTTGACCACATAGCTATGGTAGTTTGTATCTCATCTGTGGGGAAGTTGGGGTTACTTACAATTGTTTCTAGTAAGCAAAGTTCCTTGAGAATTTTCTCCAGGAATTTGAGGTCTGAGGGATTGGGGGTAGAAGAGAGGCAAGTAAAGAGAGAAGAAAGAAACCTGTATCTCTAGTAGAGAGAAGCCTAGGGATAAGGCGAGAGTACAGGGAGAGAGTGGCAGAATAGTGTAGTTACTTACAATTGTTTCTAGTAAGCAAAGTTCCTTGAGAATTTTCTCCAGGAATTTGAGGTCTGAGGGATTGGGGGTAGAAGAGAGGCAAGTAAAGGGAGAAGAAAGAAACCTGTATCTCTAGTAGAGAGAAGCCTGGGGATAAGGCGAGAGTACAGGGAGAGAGTGGCAGAATAGTGTATTAGACGCATGGACTCTGCAGCCAGGTGGCCTGGTGGGATACCAGTTCCATCATTTACTGGGTGATCCTGGGCAAGTTACTTAACATCTCTGTGCCTTAGTTTCTTTATCTGTAAAAGCGGGATAATAAGAGTGCCTACCTCATAGGGTGGATGTGAGTTTGAATGAGTTAATACATGCAAAAGGACTAGGACAGTCCCCGGCATATATTAAAGTGCTGCAGAAGTACTTTTTTAAAAGGAATAAAAGAGGGGTGAGGCAGGGGACCAGATTCTTGGGCCCTTGTATTAAGTAAAGCCCCGTAAAATGCTCTTTGAGACTCCCTACCCCAAAGCCTTGGCCAGCTTTCCTCAATTTTAACTATCTCTGTTTCCCTTTCATTCATTTATGAACTCACATATAATCTTCAACAATTTAAAAGCAACAGACCAATTCCTTGAAAACCACAGGTAATCCTCATTCATTCATGAATTTACTTAGTCCTCTATTCATTCATGAATTCACATGCCCACACGCACATCATTCACTGAGGCCCCTCTGTCCTACATCCCTGTTCCAGGTGCTTGGGCTATGGGCATAACACAGACAATTCATGTGCCAGGGTCCAGTGCCATGCAACAGGAATGTAACGTGAGCCACATATGTAATTTAACATTTTCTAGTAGCCACGTTAAAAAATAAGAAACTGGTGAAATTAATTTTAACAATATATTTTATTTAACCCAATATATCAAAAATATTATCATTTAAGTATGAAATCAATGTAAAAATTTATTAATGAAATAGTCAACATTCTTTTTTTTTTCCATACTAAGTCTTCAGAATCTGGTGTGTCTTTTGCATTACAGCACAGCTCCATTCAGTCTACCTGCACGTATACAGCACATGAGGCTAGTGGCTACTGCATCAGACCACGCAGGAAACTAGACNCTGCACGTATACAGCACATGAGGCTAGTGGCTACTGCATCAGACCACGCAGGAAACTAGACATTTTCACGGGTCAGCCTGCTCACTCCCCTTCTCCTTCCCACTCCATCCTGCTCAGTCTGCTCAGCATCACCTTCCTGACCTCTGTTGGGTGGCCTCTCTCCTCAAAGCATACCTGCCTGCCAGGTATTACTTTCCTCCTTCCAGCCAGGACTTTGAACTTCACCGCTGACCCTCTCTCACCTGGGACATCTTTCACATTGCACATTTCTCCAACCCTGGGCATTCCCCACCTCTGCTCACCTGACTGCCCCCTCCCCCAACAGCTGCAAGAACAGGGTTTACACATCCGTGGACTAAACTCAACTGCCCCGCCCACTGCCCCACCAGGTTTGGCTAACCACTGAGCCACCTCTTGCTAACTCCCCACGCCATTCTTCACAGCATTCTCCGAGCTTCTCTGGGGTCCAGGGACCCCACTCTTCCCCTCTCCCCATTCTTAGCCCCTTCCCTCTCATTCTGCCACTAGATCCCCAGAGAAATGGAAGCCATGTGACCTGAGCTCCCTAAACAATCTCATGTCCACCAAAATCTCACCAGAGCTTCTGTTGCTTTTCCTCACCTCACAGGAAGAGGTGTCCTTCCACGATTCAAAGCTGATCCCTCCACCTGTCTCTCAGTTCTGTCACCTCCCAGCTTAAGCTCCTGAGTTCGCCCTCTCTCTATATCCCTCTCCCGATTTCTTCTTTTCATTCCATGTTCTCAAACTTCTCCTATCCTAAAAACAAATGCTTCTCAGCTCTGAGGTTCACTTCTTGCTATCTGCTCATCTTTTCCTCTGTTGAGCCTCCTAAATGTTTTCTGTGCTCTCTGACTCCATCTCTCACTTCCAAATCAATCTCTAGCCCACTCAGTCTGGCCTGTGTTCCCACCATGCCTCCACACTGTCTTGACAACATTGACCTTTTTGTCCTTTGCTCAGTCATATTTCTTTTCCTTGCAGTATTGGACAATATTGACCACTCCCACTTGCATCAGAATCACTTGGGTGT